TGGGGCATACGGTGGAGGCCATGGCTTGCAGTGATCGAACCGTCAAGCATGGACAGACAAAGCCGGCCTTTTTTATCGACGTCTCGGCCTCTGGCAGTAGCGAAAATGTTCTTCTACAGTAGATTCCCTATCTCATGAGATGTCACCCGGAATTCTGAAATGAGTTTTCGATTTAAACATATTAATTGCGTATGGTTTTAAGAATGATGATCGTACAGCCTCATCTTAATATATTTAAGTCACGTCAGGATGCCGGCTTTTTAATGAGCTTCTTTCTGACTGTTAAGTAAAGGCATGTACTATAAAAAGTGGCTACTTGAGTAGTATGCCTTATTGTCATTGATTTTGACTGCCTTTATAAATTTAAATATAGTTTATGGAAAACGTGCACGAAAAAATTATATCATGTACTCGTTTGGTAGCAAATTATGCCTTCTTTAAATTTTATACTTAAAGAAAGGGTATCTTTCGGTTTAAGCAAATTTCGAATTATGAGTTTTTTTACAATTTTCAGGTGTTCATTCATAGAACATCATGTCCGTTAATTTGTTAATGCTGTCTTTACTGTATAAAGCATGCTCCATACCTATTGCAACATTTTATGAGAACTGTGTGAGACCTTCCTCAAGCTGTAGGTGAAAATGTACTTTTCCTAAAATAGGATGTACACAGAGCGCAGTTTGTAAACATTAAATTCACGGGGTTTCAAAATTATTCGGCAATTTAGAAACATTTTTTTCCAAACGAAAGGTACCCTTTCTTTAAGTATAAAATTTAAAGAAGGCGTTATTTGCTACCAAACGAGTACAAGAAATAATTTTTTCGTGCACGATTTCCAAAAAATGTATTTGAATCTATAAAGGCAGTCAAAATCAATCACAAAAAGGCATACTACTTAAGTAGTTACTTTTTATAGTATATAATTTTCTTGGCGGTCAGAAAGGAGCTCATTAAAAAGCCGTTGTTCTGAAGTGTCCAAAATATGTTTGGATTAGGTTGTACGATCGTCCCTATTACAACCATCCGCAATTAATATGTTCCAATCAAAAACTCATTTCCGAATTCCAAGTGACATTTCATGAGATAGGGAATCTACTGTATCTATAGCAGGAAAAGTTGACCCAGGTTATTACCAAAGTGTCCAACAGCCCAGATGAACAAGAGGCGACTTAGAGACCCTCTGAACTCTGCCGAACCACGTGGTTGCAAGTAAATTGTGTTCAGTTGTCTAGTTCATTCCTCGTACTGGTGTAAATCACTGGAGGAGAAAATCATTGGCCGATTTCGCCTTAGGTGTGAGGAAAGGACAGAAGAGTTGTGCCGGCGACCGAGAATGCAAGCTTCGGAAAGGGAGTCAGGGTCAGTCAGCCGCCCAGGATACCCCGACGACGGAATGGGAGGGCAGAATTACCGACAACGTTTATATGCGGAAAATTTTCTCCGATGGCAGAAACAAGGGCAGACCAGGGTTCACGTCGGCTGTAAACTTGCGCAAGTTTTACTGGGAAATGTCACCTCGCAATCGAAGACATTAAATCAATAGTTAGTTAGTCGAATGACAGAGCTACCCTTATACGAAACGAACAACGACATGTTATGTTCGAAAACAGTTGGACGTTAAATAGTTGTTGATTAAGGATGAGCGGTCTGGACTGAATGCTTTTTTCCGTTAATAAGGAAAAGTTTTGGCAAATAATCAACTATGAGACCTTTGGAGAGTATTAACTAATCGTAAGGTGGGTCGTGAACCGGTCAAGTTATCGAAGTAAATAGCATTCCAAAAGCATATTGTCGAAATAAAGTATCGAACAGTGGGAACCCCAGCAGTTTTACATTTACGTGGTCGAAAACCGAGTCCTTATTGTGGTTCGTTAGTCCCAGTCTACAATTACAGAACGACAGCCTATTCGGAATGCCAGTTGTCATGTGTTTTCGTTTAGCATCGCTATAGCACTCCGCCCTACGGACTAGCAGAGACTGCTGAAACTGCCATATCTATGATGTTTAACAAAAGACCGTAGTTACTTCCAGATTTGGTGCTGCTGCGATTATGGATACAAAGGAACAACTGTAAGAAGTATAAAGTTAAACAGACAGCCATCAGAAGCAGCCAAAACCACTTGTGCAGGCGCTCTCGATTGGTGACCCAGTATGCCTACCTAAATTAAGTAGACACTAAATATGAATAGATTTCGCAGACGGTACTCATCCCCGTTGTCTAACCAAGGTGAACCATTTAAGTTTCACAGTAATAGCCAACTCTTCAAAAGACAATAACCAGTACCAAAAAGCCAAAACGACAAGATATTTGTTGTACGCACATTCGAGTGGAGGTTCGCCCACCCACAAATCACAGTTTCTACGGCATTAATTCAGACATTCATTTCAGCTGCCTAATTGATTACCATAGCGACAGTACGTGTACTAGCTAGAAGCCCTGACCGCGTGTTTCGCCGATCTTGGGACGCTGCACGACGCAGGTGCGAGAAGCTCGGTTTATCAGTGGGTCAACCAGCGGCCCCGTATGTTTTCTGGTAATATGAACCACGGTTTCCATCCCAACTTGCTTACATATGAGCAAGTTCATGTTCAAACTGAGAGTAAATTTTTCGGGACAAACCTTTTCAGACTCCGTTTGAATGTGGATAAGAATATTTTATCTGAAATCCATAAAGTACTGTGGGATAACCATGTCAGTTTATTTCTTTACCTTGACGACACCCCTTTATGAAATTAATAACGAAACGGAGGCTAAGAGCGGTGGCCTGCGCCAAGTTTTGACAAAATACTTGCAAACAGGGTAGTCCAATAACACTGTAGTGACCCCACTCCGCGCGGACGGCCACGTGATTGCAGTCTCGGTCTGCCACTGGGACAGCCAATCACAGGTGCCGCAAACTTCGCTAGAACACTTGCCCGGCGCGGCGGCCACTAAAACGCGCGCACTCGCAGACTGACACCAATACATCTGACCAATAACCTTCAAGGCTGAATCACACAAAGGCTGCCTTGTGGATGCATGCCACGACTGCCAGACTCAGACACTTCGGATTCAACCCCCCTCTCGGATGCAGACATGTACTTGCCTGATAGTCAACTTCCTCTCACCCATTCTCAAAATTCCTCTGTACAAAATAAACTATTCCTTCCACTCTGACCTTCCATTTCTTCTCTCTCCCACAAGAGACCGTGTCTGAAGATCACAGTCGCAAGGGTTTTAGCTATTAACCTAACTCCCTGCGATAACACCCTAAGCCCCACTAAGCATGCTAGATATTAAAACGATGTATTGAGCGTACCTCAAGCATTCAATTGATTGTCTCTCTATATACCATACTGATGCGCGCATGATTCGGGAGACCTGATTTTCCTACTCTACTTCGGACCACGAACCCAGGCCAGCCGACGCAGAAAAATGGGCCAGAAACTGTCACACCTGTCTTCCTTGTATTCGCTGGTTGTACTTTCTGATTGCAAGGTAGTCATCTGCAAGGATCCTAGACGGGAGATTCAGGCGAGAACGGGAAGCCTGTACACCGTCCCGCAAACAGTGTCCCATAATCTGACAAATAAAAACTGGAACACACTCTTTTTTATCTGTATTTAAATAATATCAGCAGCCTAAAAATCGTCCCTGAGGCAGACGCACTGTACTACAGCATCTTTACATTTGTAGTCGGCATGATAACTCGTGCTCACGGCCAGACATGAGTGCAGTTAAGAGGGCGATCATTGTGATTTTCCTCTGCCCTTCAAGTCAGAGCTTAATATCTAAATTTATTCAGATTTCAATTTCAGGTCTGCCCACCCTAAGTTTGGCAATAGTTGGATGGCAGCGAGAAATAAGCCGAAAAGGAATAATGCAAATTGGCTATCCTTGGTTGTGGTAATAGCTTTCCTCTCTGTTTTATCTCCAGATGAGTCATCAATACGGACCCGATATTCAAAAAGACCACAGGCAGGAGCGGACGCGGGTGCCAGTGCGACGTCAACCCTCACCTAGACGTGCTACCGTCCCCGCCCTACACACAAAGAACTAAGGTTTTCCTAAAAACAGGGGACATCTGAGATTGCAATGAGTATAAGTGTCATAGGGGCCGCAGTATGAAGGAGCCTTTGCAGCCTGACTCTCAGTCCGCCAGTCAGCCACCGACAGGTCGATCGACGATTTCGACTATGTTCACTGTATGCGCTCCGCAAAAAGTTAATGCGGGGAGAGTGACCTGCGAAGTATCTACCACACCCTCTCTTCCTTCACGCACCTGAGCCCGGCGTCAAGATAGAGTCAAGAATACCGAGGGCTGGATCGAACGCAGTGACTAACAAGGCCGGCAAGCCCGTCTGCGCGCGCCACAGCACGACCTGGTCCCCTTGATACACACACACAACCAGGGGAGTAAGAGCAGTCCCTGTCTGACTCTCGGTCCCCTCATCAACACATATTGGGCTGACAACAAAATTTGAGTTATCCTGACAGTTAACAGCTTTCCAAGCAACGGCTTTTAGCGCACTGTGATATGTATAGGTGCGTCCGATTGCTTATAGTGAGAAATACGAACTGAACTATACCTCACGCTTTCTCTCTCTCTAAACAAGCAAGCGACAAAAAAAATGCAAAAATGCATATCAAAAGTGACGAAGAAATACCTTAATCGGAACACCAAAGACGCAGGCTGATTGAAAGGATGCTGATGGGTAGGCATTCAGCCGAAACAGTACTTGATTTACTGAAGCGTACAAAAACTTCTGCAGGACATCACAACCTAACCGGAGTGCCAGATTAGTATCGACGCTGAGGAAGGAGATTATCAGGCTTACCGGTAGAAACTTGTTTTTGACAATTGAAGGGCATATCCGACCTAATTTCGAGGGGGTGAGGAAGATAAGTGAAGTGGAAGCAGATGGAAAACGTGGAGGAAAAACAAAGAAAATACGGTGTATGCATCTTCATGTTAAACAAAAGTCAATTGAAAATATATGTGTGTGTCCGTGTACTTTGTTCAGCCCCAGGCTTGACATTTACAGTAATTAAGGATGAGTTTGCCATCGGCGTGAAAACAATCATACAGGGTGCCAATTTCAGTGTCCAGGGAGGGCGCGAAGCTCTGTGATACATACAAGAGGAGGTTGTCATGGGGATCAAGTTTGAGGTAGCGGCGGATGAAGTTAACCATGTTCAACAGTGTATCCGTACGTTGAACCTTCCATTTGGATTTTTGCATGCCTGGAGCATCACCTACGGGCTTCAGTAGAACATCCACCTTGGCATTAGCGGTGGACATCTGGCAGTCAGTCTAGCTAAAATGGCAAGCACAAGCGTAAGCATGAGTCGATTGTATCCGAAATTTTGGTAACAATATATTATATGGATTACAAAGGAAAGTAAAAACCGCGGAATTCTGTAATACGGGAGCGGTAGTAAAAGGGATTATGTGAGTGAGGCATCGCGGGGGCGCATTAGAAAGGATGACAGAATGCAGTGGAAGCCAAGGCTTTTAAATGTTAGCCCTTGGAAGGTTCCAAATAAAACCTAAACAATACACGAATAAGGATGAATGTCTGCATTTTGGGTGCATATATGAACAAGAGAGAGGATGGGTCGGAGTACGGAACAGAGCCTCTAAAGTTTACTTCACTGACACCGAGATAATCAACTACATCGGAAGCAAGACAGGCCGATAATTAATTGAAGCCTGTACCTGCGATGCAAAGTCGATTAATCGATCCGGCACCGGCATACTAATTCCTGTACAGCCATCCGTCTACCTTTGTTACTTAGCGCTGATCGGTCAACACTTCCTGTGATTATCACTTGTTCCGTTGCCATTTTTATCACTGACCATGTACTCATGTGCGAGTTCGGAAGCTCGGGAAAATAAGCGACTATTCCCGTTGCTCGACTTGGTATTTTTTGCCTACGATATGTAGGAAACACATTTTTTGTCGTTAAAAAGGACCAATTAGAAAGGCTTCACAACACCATTAACTCAACCATTCCGGGGAATTAAATTCAGGCTCGAAAAAGAAGATGACAACAAACTCCTATTTCTAGATGTTTTCGTACGGCGAAAGGCTGACGGAACATTACACACGGCGGCCGTCTATTGCAAAGAAGGGTATGCAGAAGTTGTTCATCGCTATGAGAGAAATAACCTGATGCCTCCAAAAAGGAGTGTTGTCAACAGTTTGTTACATCGAGCAAAAACACAGTGCTCTGACGAAAACGTCTGTCGAGTCGAATTAAAGTATTTGTTTGATTTTTTTGCCAAAATGTTTACCCCAGAGACTTCGTACACAGATGCATGAAAACAAAGAATCCAGAGAAAGGCAACTAAATCGTTCCCCTCAAGCGCCCAAAACAACTACAGGGTGAATCCTTCCTTATATAAAAAAAGTGTCTGCACTCATCGAAAGGCGCTTTCGTTAATACGAAAAATGGCGCACAAACTGAAGACTACCTTACGCACCCAGCTCGTACACGCTAAAGATATGGTTGGCTAGCTTGACAAGAAAGAAGTCGCCTACGAGATCCCATGCAAAGCTTATGAGAGCGTATATAGTGGCCAAACAGGAAAACGCGCCTACAAATGCATCTACCAACGTCAACTAGCATTAAAGAGGCTTGACCATCTGCCCCAAGTGACCATGTACAGCCTTGATACAGGCTGCACATTCCTATGGGACAAAACTTACATCGTCGGAGTTTACCTCTCCAAAAAGGACGAGAATTTCTTGAGGTCATGCACTCCGGTGACTCATGCATCAAGCGATATAGTGAGTTAGATGCTGCATACAAAATTTTAAAAGAAATATGCAAGAGACGAGAAGCGATCGATAAAACCTGACGCGAACCGCAGCTGCTAATTAGCACTCGTACCAGATGAATATTGATTTTTTCAGCACTTTTGAAATTTTCATTTTTCTTTACACGTTTATTCACGTCTGAAGACGACCTGGGGAACCAGCTTCGAAAATTTACCCAACAAATTTACTTTGTTTTTCCGAAGAACACATTTAACTCCAAACTACTCTTAAACAATGTAAATAGAGGGTTGGTGTCTACTTTTAGTCATTTTGATTACGTGTTTACTTCCAGATAAACTTTTAGCAGCGACTTTAAGTGCTCTCAGAGACTGCACAAATCAGCGGCCAAATTGACCACGACGGTCGACCGCAAATCATCAACATGCAATGTAGTGTAATGGTTTCACATGACAGTCACGAATCGTTTTTGCGCCTTCTTCTGCTGGAGATGTACAGGGCTGCAATCTTGATAATTCTGCTTTACAGCGAAAAAATAAACCTGAAACACTTATAAAAACGCAGAACGAACGCTGAACCAATTTCATTTAAGTTGCCTCTGGAGGACAAGGTGTAGCGTAAATAATGGATGCCCGGCGTGTGCAATTCTTATAATGTTGAGACTCAAATCCAGTTGAGCGGTCACGTCGTGCGGATATCCTGAAGTTGCTGTAAGCTCCAATTGGCAAGGACGGAGAAACGCTGAATGGACACACTGAAGGTCCCCTTTAAATGTCTCTGGGCCTAAACTCCAAGAAGCCTTTCAGTAGACATGAAAAACGGCAGTACAGCAACTCTTAATCGAATAAGTGAGACCGAAAAAAGGAGACAGAAATAACAGTGTTGCAATTGTCAAACCCCCTTCTTACGAGTCCGTGCCCTTAATGTGTACACAGTACCGTCGGTGGCAAAACATCTCACCATTTCAATGCGCCTACTTAGCAGGAAAACATCGCAAACTTGGACCAGTGTCTTCAAATATGTCTACACTATGAACGCGTCTTTGAATCTCAAGTCGCCCTGAGTGAGCTTCAACACACCTAATCCTACATCTCACACATATTTTGTCAGTAATGGATGAGCCCAGCCTACCGAACTTGACTCTAAAACAGACCATGCTGAATCACCTACTCCAGCCAAATCTAACAAACACTTAGTGGACTGGTTGCGAGGCCTAAGAGTAATCGTGAGTTGGACACCTTTCAATTTACGGTGCACGTAGCACCATGTGGTCTCAGGATCGGATCACGCAGGCAACAGAAGAGGAAAGTATAGGGGGGGACAATGACCATACTTTCCTTTTACGTGTAAGGTGTCAGTTGCCAACATGCGCTGAGTGATGTTGGGCGTGGTCGTGTGTGGAAGAAAAGGGCGGTTATGTGGTAGAGCATGAGATGGTTTACCACAGATTTTCGTGGAGGCCCATGTGACATTGTCGCACAAAACTTTAGGCCTTTAGCACAAGTAATGTTCCCAAAAAATGTGAACGAGTTG